TAATATAATAAGTCTTTAAGGATTATGGTATGGAATTTGCAGCATTACAGTAAAATGAATCAGTACTGTTGCAATATGCATCAGTGACACTGGTGACCGTTAACTTCCCACCTCGACAGTGATAACCACTGTACCACTAGAAGGTTTTGTAATCGGCCTCATATGACAGCAACATTGTTCACTCATATGCCATGTGTACATTGTTTCATTAATTACAGATTGCTGCCATTGAAATGGGAGAGACTGAAATTCTTCTGATTTCCAAAACACAGTCTGACAATGTCCCCAACTTCACAAAGCGATGTGACAGGTGTGAGGGTGATTAAAAGCTGCCTGTCTTCCTTCTTCCCACACTTATGTCACTTCTCAGGGACACATCTGAGTGCATTGTTATGAATGTGTTCAAGGAGCAACTGTAAGAGGCTGCTGGTATTTCTGTACGATTGATTGCACTTCTCTGTGACTGCAGGTTTTTCGTCCTGCCACAAGTGTCGTCACTCACGATAGTTCAAAACACCTTTACCCTCACACACTAGGACGACTCACTCTCTAAATGTTCCGCAAACTCTTCAAGATTCCATACAGGGAACTGTAAATGKGAACATTGTGGGCATATAAAGATATTCATAATTGACATCTTTGTTATACTTTTAATATTTTTAATAATTTACCAGGTTGGCAGTGTTTTATCTCAGGGATAAAGGTTAAGATAATGAACCCAACTCGACCGGGGCATTTTATTAAATGTGTGATTGACTGAGAATAGTCTAAATAGTGTTGACAAAAGACAACACCAGGATTTCTGTTCTGAACAACACAGGACATTTACAAGAGAAACACATTATTCCATCCATTATCTAAATGACTTATCTTTTGAGGGTCACATGGAGTAGGAGCCAACCCAAGCTGACTTTTGGGCAAGACGCAGGTCACCCATCTACTCCAGGGCCAACATTTTGAAAGAGAAACAACCAGGCAATTATAGAGAGAAAGGTCATGGCCGCAATCAGGTTGAAGTCCTGAATTCTTGCTGTGACGTGACAGTGCCCCTCACTCTGTTTAGTACAGAGGATATACACCAATCTGCCATGTCATTAAAACAGGAAACTGGTTTTATTTGTTATCAACAGATGTGCTGTTAGAGCTGTTGGAGCCCACAAAGGAGCAGCTGTTTCATCAACATCTTCTCCCCCTTTCCCTCTCTCTTTCCATTAGTGTTCAGCCAAAACATATATCGTCGTTTCTTGTTGATGTCAATGTAGCAGACATATTTTTGGTTTTGCTTGTGACGAGCTATTCCATAAAATGGATGTGCTTTTTGGATTACAATAAAAAGTGTCGAATGCAGGCCCCCAGTGCTGAAACAGCACTTCTGAAGTTATTCATCAAGTAGTTTTAGTCACACCGAGTTTAGACCTATCAACATGTGGGACACAGGGCATAAAGAACACCTCACAGCCCCCCCGACCTCTTCCCTATTGATTCTGTCAAGTCACACTCCCTGGATTCCTCCTGGAGTCATATATTATATAGGCCAGAGAGTCTAAATGTGTGTTCACATCCTGCTTGTTTATATATCTGCATCATTCAAAGAATATTTCAAAATTAGTAAATGTATTTGTTGCAAATACTGCATTGACAGGAATACAAACAGATATGCCTCCTTTGAGTTGCTGTGTGATTTCATTTCTGGTGAACTTTAGAACTCCGAATACAACTTCCCAGGACACCATGCTCTGTAGCAAATATTGGAGTGCCGAGGACTCCACATTGTACCAGCCCTCCCAGTTTCTGCACATCTCATCTGTGCTCATCCAACTTGAAATTGCTTATTTCATTTTGAACCTCAAAGCCAAGTTTTGGTCCTTATTAGAGGAGCTGATGCAACACTCCCATCCATCATAGCTACAGCATTACCCTCAGGAAAAATTCAATACACACATATGTGACCTACATACTCGGGTTACTCTGTTAATCCAACTGAACCACTCGTCTCTGTCAGTGCTTTAAATTCAGTTACACACACAACTCTCTTCTGTTATGTCGGTGTCACGTGTGTGTGCCATGTGTAAGTGTGTGTGTGTATCATATTTGCTGTGTGTGTGTGTTGCAGGTGGTGTGTGTGGTCCATAACTTCAAAGGCAAGCTACTGCTGAGCGAGGAGTCCCCCATGGAGCAGCGGCCCAACACAGCCATGCTGAGCATGGGCCGAGTGGAGAGTCCTCTGGAGAAGTACATCGCCTCGCAGGTCAGTACCACACAACACACACCTTGTGTCAGGTGTGCAGATGTTTCAATGTTGATCACTTCTCTGGAATAATGCCACTCTGTGTGAAGTACACTCACACTGTGTGTTAGGGTTAGACTAATATTCATTTTCAGAAAACAATCACTGATTTGAAATTTTTTTCTTCTAAAAATATTTGGCCTCAAGACTTTGAAATTTACAGTTTAGCTCGTCTCACATTGGTGTGCCCTCTCCCATCTGAAAAAACACAAGTAGAATTAGAAATGGGTGAATTATCTTCCTGTGTCAGACAAAAAAATTATAACTAGTAGCGAGTGTTTGAGATTAATGCAGCTGACAAAAATGCCTTTGACTGCTTCTCAAAGCATTAACTGCTGTGCACTCTGGAAAAAAATACATTTCCTGTAGCTGTTTAATAGGAAAATTCAGGTGGTCATGATAAATCTCCTAACAATTACAGTCAAAATGTAATGCTGCCCAGATCTCATACATTACCTGCAATCTGTTCACTGCCTGAACAAAATGTTCATATTGAACACATTTGCAAAATACAGGTTTATTGTCATCCTGTCTCTTCTCGTGGAAACTTAAGGTTAATGTAGAACAGTTGTTAATCTCAACTCAGAGATCAGCCGACAGGCTTTCGACCACTTGTTGTGGTCTTCATTAGCAAATGAGTGACTCATTTATTGTAATAACAGGTGGCCATGTGCCTGGTAGGTCACTCAATGACACCTGAGCTATCCATTAAGACCATGAGATACAGTCCCAGTTACTCAGTTATAGCGAAGATGTCACATATACAGACAGAAAACAAAATGTGACCAGAGAGCAACATACAAGCAGCAATTACTTCTCCTAGCTTTTTAGTTTTCATGACAACTGAAGTTCACCACAGGTTCTCTCTCATGTTGGAAAGGAGAGGGTGAGATGATGAGTTTTCAGCTGCAACATGCAACTTCACCTCTAGATGTCACTAAATTCTACATACTGAACCTTAAAGTAGAATTACCCTAAAAATTAAAAAAGGTAGACAAACACATAATGATAAATACTATAAATAAAAAAAACATACTTTACACCATTCAGGTATATGTTAGCACAGTTGCCATTCTTTCAAGTTATAGCAAAATGTCTGTGGATGGTGGGATTGTCATCCTGTTTGTCCTCTCCTTTGAGATTTTCCTTTAATTTGTATGTTTAGTAAATAACAGGCACACATTGGTCTAACCCTGGTTTATAGTTTTCATGATATTCTTCATTTTTAAACATTCAGCAAACATACAGTAAATACTAGCTGATAAAAACACTGTCTGACACATTACCAGCCATTAGTCATAACTGTGTGTACAGGTAGCAGTGCCAAAATATGAATGTTGGATGTTACCAATTGTTTGATTACACACACGTGCTGCTGCAGGAGACGGATGATGAAGATGAGGAGTCTTCCTACATTAAGGAGCGTCTATCAGCCTTCTTGCGCTGGCTGCGGGGTCTTGATTGGATCCAGCGTCTCAGAAAAAAAAGGCAACAGACTATGAGTTGGTGTGACACCTGAGTTCTGCCAAATATCTCTGGACACAACTGTGCTGTACTGTTCTGACTGGATCAACTGGCTGATATTGTGCTGCAGGTCTGGTCATGCTGTCATAAGTTAACAACTGTCATAAGTTAGCAGAGTGTTTATCAGGCGTGCACAATGCCCTTCCTCTGCCGAGACTGGTGTATCAAATCAAAGCAGCTCTGCTCAGATGCATCCCACAGTGAAAATGTTAGCTCTATGAAACGTTTGAGATTTTAGAATCGAGGCTCTTGTCACTTGACACAGCTCTTATATGGATGTTGAGCTTAAGAGCAAAAGAGGTCTCTTCATATACTGGATTAATTCAATTCAATTTTATTTGTATAGCGCCAACTCGCTCTGGCTGGTTATAATAAAAACAATAACAGTGTAAAGAAGTAGATTAGACTTCACTTAAATATGGTCACCAGAGTTATTTAAGAGGTGAATGTTAAAGATCAATTGTGGATATTTGGACGGAGCCCTGCAAAACTGTTATTTCCCGTTCATCTTGATGTACTGTTGTACATGAATGAGCTGGATTTACTTGTGGACCAGAATTGTCTGACAGCAGCTGTTTATATTTGCTTACATGCAAAACAAAGCAGCACAGGATGACAGATGTACAGTGGATTTCACTGTATCTCTTCTTTTCCCTGAAGACATCCTTCTCACACACATGCTGTCATTTAGAGGGACTTATGGTGATGTTGTCTTACACTGTTGCAACCATGGGGGAACACGAACAGGGAGGATTAAATACCACATGGCAAAGATATTACACACCAAGTAAAAAGTTTTATTCTATGAGAAAATACACAGGGGTTCAAGCCTTCCCAGAGCGGACTGAAAACCAAACCATCCTCCTGCAGAAACTGTTTAAAATTTAAAAATGACAGCAGACATGAATTAGTGAACACCATCAGCAATTCTACCATTTGATGTGTTAGTGCCTCTGAGGTAATATCATTCAAAAACAGACACGTTTGTCTTCCTCACGTGTTTTTGGGAGGTCAGCAAATGAAGGTGTGGATTAAAAATTGAACCTCAGGTTAGTTAAAGGTTCAGTGTGTAAGATTTAGGTGAAAGGGATTTTTGTCAGATATTGACTATAAAATAATCCTAGTGATGTTTTCACTAGTGTGTTTCATCTAAATTGTATGAATTGTTGTTTTCTTTACCAGAGAAGAGCTCTTTATGTTTAAATACTTTATATTTACATGGAGGGGGGTCCTCTCTGTGGAGGCAGCCATGTTTTTTACTGTCGTCCAAACTGGACAAACTAAAACCTTTTGAGTTTTTATGGCAACTGAAGTTAACCACAGGTTCTCTCTCATGTTTGGAAGGAGAGGGTGAGATGAGGAGTATTCAGCTGCAACATGAAACTTCACCACTATGTCACTAAATTCTACACACTGAACCTTTAATGCTGAACTCATTTATATTGATACAGTACTCACCCGTCCAGTAGTGGTCTCTACAGAGATCCTTTCTTGTTCTAATTTATTGATTTTGGTCAAAATCATCTTGTTTGTATGGACATGCTCTCATTAATTATTTTAGAGACTGACAACAGCACATTATCAGTCAGTGGTTTCATCTAATAATATTATTGTTGACATTTAAGAATAAACCTGGTTTATTACAGCATGGTGCCTATTTTTCTGCAGGTAATCATTAAGTTGTTTTCATTGCTTTATTTGGCCACAGAAACAGATGATCAGACAGGTTGAAAACAAACCCCCATTTATTGCAGTTTACAGACCCACTTTCTGTTTCTATTTTGACCTTGTGTTGTTTTGCTCACACAGTTCTTATATATTACATGTTCTTTCAAACTTTACAGGTCAATGTAGAAATGAATGTTCACTTTACTCCTTTGTAATTCAACTTATTGTTACATTTTAATTATTATTTTAATGGTTATTAGTTAATTAAAAGTTATTTTTTTAACCACCAGGAAACTATAGGATATAGATAAATCCTCAATGTTTAACAGAACAAAGCCAAAGAACAAAGTTGGAGTGCTGGAGAGTTGAGTCGGCACATCCGAGTCATGATTCAGTCAAATATTAACACAGAGACAGGAAACACTTGGTGATATAATCCTCGTCCAGTACAGATGAGAAGAAGGGCTTGTAGTTTCTTCACAGTTTTTTTTGTTGTTTCTTTTTTTGAGTACAGATGCTTTGGTTTTAGATTTACTTTTTTTCCCCCAACTTCTTATATTCCGAATTTAATAGGGACCTCCAAATGACGTGGCTTAGATACTGAGGATAGAAGGGTTTGTTTCCAAAATGTCTGATCATGCTCTGTCTGAAATATTTTTTGATGACGTCACCATGTTCCCAGATGTCAGCGAATACAGTGTTTTCAAAGACGTGATGACCTCAATTACCAAAATGAGAGCAAAGCTGTTATGAGGTGAAATTTACCTTCATCATTTGTATGTAGACTGGTCAACCGCTGGCACTTTGGCCTATTGAGTGCACATCTGTTGGTTTGGCCATCTTTTCCACAGGCACACTGTCCAGTGAAGCTAAAAAAAGGATGAGATAAATTCTGCCGAGCAGTGTCCAGAGTGTTTGGCATGTTTGGTTGAAGTATCAGACTGCTGTGTTTCTATTTAAGCGACCCTGCTGTGTTGTCTTTTCTCATCCTCTCGCAAGATGCACATTTAGCAGTGAGATGCAGAAAATACACAACTCCTATCTGATGATTCAATTCGCAGCCTCCTGCTGAAAGAGCCTGCGCTCAGTTGTCTGACAAAGAGCAGAAAAGCTCACACTCTCACCTCAGTGACGACAGGCTTGGTGGAAAATTGCCCACTCTAAAAATAGCTCAGCCTAAAGACGCCTGAAAGCTAAACAAGCCACTGCCGTGGCAGTAAGGAACCTCAGAGCAGCAAAAACTGAATCCTGTGCTTTTATTTCCTTGATAACGGTTATGATTGTCCAGACCACATGCTGGGAGATGTCATAGTCATATATTTATCACTGGCTAAGTGTAATTTTCCTGGAAGATAAATGCATGAAACATGCTCATGTTTTTATACATTCGTCATATCTGCTTTGCAGAAAATTTAACTAATTGGCCTTAATGCAACATCGTGTTTTGAAGGGTGTATAATTTCTTGCTTTTATACAAACACAACATGAGAAAACTACCACGTACAGGAGTTATGTCCTCCAACATGAATGCTAATATTTCTCCTTAGTCAAATGAAAAATTTCAAGGATGAGGAAATCCACATCAGTTCCTTTTTATGTATGTCTGGCTAAGAATGTGTCATATGTTGCACAGTTGTTCCACAGAAGAACTGCAGATAATCATCAAATCCACATATCACTTAAAAATGTACACATGTAATTTTGCAGTAGCATCAGACTCATTTCATAATCCTATTAAACTGTGTTGTGATGGGATCACACCTGACAACACCTTATCATTCACTCCAGTGGGAATGGAGTGGGTAACCATTAGTATGATACTAAAACAAGAATGGACTGGTGCATAGGAGCATTTGTGATAGTAAACCATAAGTAATCGTTTTAGCATTTGAATGAGCAGCAGTGCTGTCATTCTTCAGATTTGAACAGTCTAAACAGGACATCCTCTGCTCTACTACACCCTCTCTTCTCTTCTTCTCTCGCTCCACAATCTGAGGTTTGGATTAGAGAATCAAAGCTTCATGTCCCCGCGGACAAGCATCCCCCACTTCTGATTCTCTCTGGCTATGTTTTAAATGCTGTGCTGGTTACTAATCAGGCCTGAGTCTCTTTCTATTTTAAACGCTTTGATATATGGTCTGGATATCAGGAGAATGATTGGAGTACTTTGATGGTGTGTTTTTGGAGTTATACATGTCTTAAGCTGCAAAGTTAGGATGACCCAGAGTCAGAAAGACCTCTTTCTACATGGCAGCCAACTCTTTCGTCTCTGATTGTGATTCTTTTATTTGGAGTCTTCCATCATAAATACATTTGTAGACTCTTGGATAGATCTTGAGACAGTTCTGGCTTTCAAGATCTCTGATGGCTAGAATGTCCACTATTTCTGGCCAAGAGCAGCTTCAAATTATTTTTGAGGGATCTGTCCAATTAAAAGGGTTGTGATAGAACAAAACTAACTGCGTGCTTACTAACTTTCTGTTTTTTGTTGTTCTGGTTTTGCCTTAATTCCCCCCCCCCTCACAGAATCACATCGCCTTCGCTGAGGTCACATGACGTGGAGTCAGCGGTGTGGCAGACCCATTGGACATCCACGCTCTTCACCGTCCAATCCAATTAAATGGAGTGCAACGCTAAACCCATTCTCTGTGTGTGTCTGGTCTGCGGCATGTTGTTCTATGTTGTCTTTACAAGGTCCCTGTTGTCATTTGCAGCTTCTCGTATTTAAGGGAAAAAAAGAAGAGTCAGTAACTCAGCAGGACACGTCGCTTCGTGTTCTTCATCTATGCACTTACTCTGAATCCTTGACAGAATCCAGCTTGCAGTGAGGCAAGGCCTGGAGCTTGTTGCACACTGTGGGACACTAGATGAACAAGTGAGGAGCGTGTGAAGTCACTCAACTCTGCCTGGGTCAAATGTGTTTTGGATAGGAAAACTATATATCTAAATTCAATGACAGAGAGAAAAAAAACCTTGATTATGTTGAATTAAGTTAAGTTCTTCTCTTGTTTTTTTTATTGCTGTTATCAAATTACTTTTATAGACTGATGTGAATATCAGAAATTGGCAATGAATGCTGGGTCCATATTTTTTTAATTAATTTAGTTGAAATGAAAGATAAAAAAAAAGATCACTAATGTAAGAGAGCTCCAAAGATATTCTAAGTCATTCACCTTGTGGAGGCTTGAGCAGGGTTTCCAAGTAAAGAAAACAAAAACTCATGTCCCTTGTTGATTAAATTGCAAATTTCCAACTTTCATTTTCTTTCCCACACATTTCTATAAGTGTTTAGAGTGTGTGTGTACAGTGTTTACTTTATGCAGGCAAGTCCAAGCAATGCAAACACTTGACACCGACTGCATTCAAACAAAAACTGTCAAGGGTTTCTTAGATAAACCAGACAATCACAACCTCACCCTCTTTCTTTGTTTCTCTTTCATCTTTAACTTTCTTCGAAAATCTACAATTGAGTTCTCCCTATTTTGTCAGAGATAGCATTAATTCATGACCTGAATCACGAAACAACAACATGCAGGCATGCTGAGCTGCCTTCACTCTGGGCGAACACACTGTCTCCACTTTCATCTCACGGCCTCTGATCATCGGCAAGGCTGCGCATGTTTTTGTTGCACAATGTTTTTCTCATGTAGCTCAGTATAACTTTTAACATGACAAAATCATCCAGTTCGATTTACACATGAATTATTTCTACAATCAATAATTGACATAATACATTTTCTTTTAATCTATAAATGGTTTTTACTATTTTAGAAACGTTGTGCTTGCTGATCTCCAGAGTCAGATGAGAATGATTTATCTCGGAGCACACAGTTCAAAAAGAGGTCCCAGTTTCGCTCATTGACTGGATGCCAGAAGAAAGTACCTCTGTATTCACGTAGTGCTTTTCTAGTCTTGATGCCATTCAGTATCTTGCCCAAGGACATGCTGAATGGGGAATGAGGAAGTCTGGGATCAACCTTCTGTTTAGAAGACGACCGCTCTATCCCCTCAGCCAGAGCCACCCCAGGTTTAGGGTCAGAACAATATAATAGGTGAGGGACATTAAACCAACAACAAATTCACACTTAAAACATGGAAACAGTTAATGTTCAGCTTTTGGATTTGACTGAAGCCTGAAAATGAGTTGTTGTTATCAACATTGAACTGAACTACTCTGTATAAAGTGAACTGGTCACTTTTGTGGAAGGAATTACAGAGAATTATCACCCAACTAATACCTTTTTCCAACTTTTTGGCCTCTTTGAACTCAATTGTTTTATTTTACTGTAGTTTTAGTGTCTGAGTCTCTGTCATCAACAACCACGCAAAGCTGTTTCTAAGCTTTAGGATACTACCTGGCTGCTAACATCAGTTTGTGATTAGTGTTTAGTATCATTTCTTTATCTAACCATCTGTCTATGAAAACCAACTACACATAGTTCTAGAATCATAAAAGACCCGACCATCTGGTTCATCTATTATTTAGATTTTAAAGGACACTAAATACAAACCAATGTGTATTTTGCTTGCATCAATACTTATTGAGCTTTTCCAGCTGTGCCACTGTGTCAATACTTGGAAAAACGGGTCAAACATCTTTTTAGTCACAATTTTTTTATCTTTTCTCTTGTTTTTGAAATCGCTCTCTCTCTTAGATTGTTTTGATAAATCGTTCTGCCCCTAGTGGCCAAAAGTGAATAAATGCAGCTTT